GGCTTTTAGTTGATAGCCCACTCGTTTGTTGAACTTATTGGGCCTCTACTTTGTGTTTAACCTAAAAGCCCATTCCCTCGTCCTATATGTGCTACCCGGTTTCTAGTGTTGTGTGTGTTGAAGAAAAGAAGGAGCCGTGAGTTTGGAGAGAGGAGTGTGGCTTTGTGCTCACGGTCTTGCTTTGTGCTGGGCATGGTTTCTCCTTCTCCTCTAGCCTTTGTGGCTGTTTCTTGAGGCTGCCTTACTCTTCACACCGAGCCGTTTGTGGGCTGTTTGGCTGGAGCAACCGGTGTTGGGTGGTGTCGGTTGGAGGAGATGGTTTTGATGTTGTGGTGGTCGATTGGTTGGTTTTCTGAGCTCGGTTGGGTGAAATTGGAGTCCAATATTCCGACAAACAGATTTGAATATTTACCCCCAAAATGCTTTTTACCTTATTACAACAATTGGGTTGGAAGTAACTCATTTCACTCAGTAAAAATAAGAAATAAGTTGACCAGTAAAAATAAGAAATAAGTTGACAGAAAAAAGTTAAAAACTCTTACTGGCCCTTGACATCATTATCTGATGCTCTAGAAAACACGTCTTCAAGAGGATATCATTTTTGTCTCATAATACTTCTAGTACTTTGTATAAAAATCTGAACAGAAAGAGATAAAAAATTATCTGAATTGAACAAAACTAGAGACAAACATGTCAAGAATGTATCACATCTGCCTACTGAGATCATTTAAACAGTTATATAACATGCCCATCATTTTTTATATGTTCTTCCAGTTTAAAGGAATTTAATATACCCCACATGTAGCAGTCGCACACGTACTTTAAAGAAAAGGGTAATATATGTTAAGAATTGGGGTTCCTTCTTAGAAGGTCAACCTTTTTAAGAGGAGTAACCCAATTCTTTATAAGTTGGTTTATGTTTACATCTTTATTCGATGTGGGATTCTATCCCTTAACATGCACTCACAAGATGGTGGCTCGTTTGGGCAGACCAATCTTGAAATCCGTATTGCTCACTTTTGGAGTCTTAATCAGATCGAATTGCTCGTTAGAGCTTAATGAGCTCTGATACCATGTTAAGAATTGGGGTTCCATCTTAGAAGGTCAAACATTTTTAAGAGGAGTAACCCAATTCTTTATAAGTTGGTTTATGTTTACATCTATATTCGATGTGGGATTCTATCCCTTAACATGCACTCACAAGATGGTGGCTCGTTTGGGCAGACCAATCTTGAAATCCGTATTGCTCACTTTTGGAGTCTTAATCAGATCGAATTGCTCGTTAGAGCTTAATGAGCTCTGATACCATGTTAAGAATTGGGGTTCCATCTTAGAAGGTCAAACATTTTTAAGNAACTCATCGGTGTTTAGGATAAAATGAGCACCGGTGCTCATTAGATCATTTCTAATATATATATATATAGCTGAAAGGAAACGAGGAAGGATGGATTAGCTTACATGATATCTCCCTTCAAGCTTAGTCAGAATGTAACCTTCTTACTTGGGATTTTACCACATGCAAAGAAACATGTTAATGTGCATCAGAAATCAAACAAGAAACCTGGAATTACACTTGTATCGCAGACGCTACTACTTTTTTTTCATGTGCTTTGTAGCCTTAAACTAAGTAATTTAGCTTGGGCCAACAGAAATACGAAGTATAATAGCAACCGCTGGTGTAAACCAAATCCAGATAGGGCAGAAAAAAGCAGCATCTCTCTATAATTATTATCGACCACAATAAACTGAAAACTGCAGAGTTGAGAAGGGCAAAAAAAAAAAAAAACCCCACAATTAAGTTTGTCTTCTATCCCAAACCAATCCTCAACCTAGGACAACATTAATTGTGTGCCACTCTGCTTCATAAATATTTCCAACCAACATAAACAACTTTTTCCAATTTAACCCCCTAGCCTCCCACGACCTCAAAAGGAGAAAATAATAATAATAATAATAATAATAAAAATCTATAATCCTAAAAATAGTAGCTTTCCACCTCAACCATAACTTTAAAATCTATGCCCTTAATAATATAAATTGTTTGAACTTGTAAAAACAGAGACGGGTAAATTTCATGAACAAAGCTTAAAAAATCACCTTAAAAATGAAAGTGGAGGAGCGGACATGCACTGGAGGTGGAAAGGCGTCGGGAATTTGGAGGTGGGCCGGCGTCAGAAAGCTCTCTTGCGGAGGCTGGGAGATGTGGGTTTAGGGGGAGAAAGGAAATTAACATCAGAGGAAGAGGGGAAGTTGGGTCACAGAGAGGGGGAGAAATGATAAGTTAGAAAATGGCGTTTCCCGTGTTTTATGAAATTAACGTGTTTTGTACTGAAAATGCTCAAAACGTGCTTTTGGATGTTTTGTGATTTCAGTACAATTTTTTTTTTTTCAAAAATGCATTTTCGAAATAGGAGGACGCGTTTTCACTGTTTTAAAAAATCGAAAACAGAAAACGATTTAAAAACAGCAAAAAGAACATGGCCTTAATCTTTGAATTAAACTTGTTTGTCAGAAGGATTTTGACACCCTTCTTTACATCTACTCACATGGGGTGGGATCCATGTGGGCCCACGTGCAATAAATTAAGGACAATGCTACACGTACACCCTCTTTTTTACCTAATCTTTTACTCACACTCACAATACACATTTGGGAGTTTTTTATTCACGTGGGCCACGTGCGCATGTGAGAGGGCGTAACATTGTCCGTACACTATTTCCGATACAAATAGAATTATTCATAAATTAAAGTGCATTAAAAAATGTCAACCCCCCATGTGAGGGGGTCGGTCAGAAGGACCCCTTCTGGCAACATAGCACGCTTGTTAATCTTTTCACCAATTTACAAGTGTACTTCATACATTAAGATTAGACACTGACAAAGAGAAGACTTTTTTGCATACAATACAACTACAACCAAGGAAAAATTACAATCTAAAAGTCTCCATGGCCATGAGATTGCATTTTCTAGCCACAACATAGTCCCATGAAATGTTCTTCCTCAATTTGACTATTAACTGCATAACTGATCACCTTTGAGGAAGAACTAGTCACATAGAGGAAAGATTCGCTCCATGTAAAAACAATTACATGATTATTAACTAATTTATTTTCTTTCTATAATTAATTTTTAACCACCACTTGCTATACTAATTTATTTTCTTTCTATGGTTAATTTTTAACCACCACTTGCTATACTGACTACTGTTCAAGTTTTAAACAGCGGCAAAAATTGAAATAAACATGCAACAGTTGAAAAAGATACTAACCCTTTCAAGGTAATTATTGGATTGCATTTTCTGAAAACCCAATTCATTCGGGCAATTCTGCTTATATTTTTCTCAATATCAATTTCAAGTTCCACCCAAGATGTAAATTTCTCAATAGCAAAGCCCAACTGTATTGATCGTTGTGGAAATGTAAGTATTCCCTTCCCTTTTGGCACGACAGAAGACTGTTACCTCAGTAAGAGTTTCTTCGTCACTTGTAATGACACCCACTACGATCCTCCCAAAGCATTCTTACGAAACTCGGCCATAAATATCACGAGCATATCCCTGGAGGGCCAATTGCGAGTCTTGCAATTCATAGCAAGGGACTGTTATTATCCGAATGGCACCAGTTTACACTCTAATAACCCCAGGATAACGATTCCCAACATGACGGTCAATAATACTGCGAATAAGTTCACTGTCGTTGGTTGTGATACAAGGGGTTTTGTATCTGGGAAACGGGCAAACAGGAATTACACCACAGGGTGCAGTTCCCTTTGTGCCAGCGAGGAGGATCTGGTGAACGGCTCTTGTTCTGGTGTCGGCTGTTGCCAGACGTCTATCCCCAAAAATGTCTGGAGAGTTCAGATGAGCTTGGGGAGCTTTCATCAATACAAGAACTATGATAATCGCAGAAGTACGTGGGTCTTCAATTCTTGCAGCTATGCATTTGTTGTTGAGGAAACATCTTTCAGTTTTTCTCCGAGCAATCTTTCCCTCCTGAGTAACGTAACGAGGCTTCCTATGGTGCTTGACTGGGCAATTGGGAATGGAACATGTGAGGATGCTAAAAAGAACCTCTCCAGTTATGCATGTAAAAGCGAAAACTCAGAGTGTCTCAAACCCAACAATGGTGATGGATATCGCTGCAATTGCCTGAAAGGTTATCGAGGAAATCCATACCTCCTTGATGGTTGTCAAGGTATGGTTGGGTTGAATTTTTCCCTATGTATTATCCTGAAATACGAACATATCACTCTCTTTCTCAATGGTCTAGCATCATGTTTTTCACAATGAATTGATCAGTACATTTCTTTCTTATTATTTTGTTGATGCAGATATTGATGAATGTCAAGATCCAAGTCTCAACGATTGTGAAAAGGACCGCTGTGTAAATACAGTAGGAAATTTTCAGTGTGTCTGCCCGAAAGGTTACCAAGGCAAAGGGAAAACAGATGGACAAGGTTGTGTTCGCATTCGTGGTGAATCAATTACCTTGAAACTTGTTGCAGGTCAGTAAGACTGTTCCATAGGTTGTGTTAACCAATTTTTCCATTTTTTTTCTTCAAGGGTTATCCTGTCAACAGAACTTTAGGAATAGTTCACATATATTTTGTACCCCATTCATCAACAAAACAGTAGAGATAGAAGCTAAAATCTATTATATTCGTCCTTTGAAACTTTTAATGACAGGGATTGCTATAGGAGTCAGTGTTCTTCTGCTTGCTTCCTGTTTGTTATACTTGGAACTCAATAGAAGAAAGTTGGTGAGGATGAAGCTGAAATTCTTTCTTCAAAATGGAGGATTATTGTTGCAAGAACGACTCACTACAAGAGAGAGGTCACCAGATCATGCAAAAATATTCACTTCTGAAGAGCTCAAGAAGGCAACAAACAACTTCCACGACAGTAGGATTATAGGACAAGGAGGCTTTGGCACTGTATACAAAGGCTTCTTATCAGATAATAGAACAGTTGCAATCAAGAAGTCCAAAGAAGTTGATCCAAACCAAGTCGAACAATTTATCAATGAGGTGATTGTTCTTTCTCAAATCAACCACAAGAATGTTGTCAGGCTCCTTGGTTGTTGTTTAGAGACCCAAGTTCCTCTTCTAGTTTATGAATTCATCAACAATGGCACCCTTTTTGAACATATAAACAATGAAAAAAAGGCACGAACTCTTTCTTGGGACAGACGCTTAACTATAGCTTCAGAAGCTGCTGGTGTGCTTGCGTATTTGCACTCTGCAGCTTCACCTCCAATCATACACCGAGATGTCAAATCTGCAAATATACTTTTAGACACTACTTTCACAGCAAAAGTGTCTGATTTTGGAGCATCAAGATTGGTTCCGCTAGACCAAACTCAATTATCTACTATGGTGCAAGGAACATTTGGATATTTAGACCCTGAATACATGCAAACGAACCAACTCACTGAGAAAAGTGATGTATATAGCTTTGGAGTAGTCCTTGTGGAGCTATTAACAGGAGAAAAGGCATTGAGCTACGACAGACCAGAGGAGGAGAGTTATTTAGCTAGTTATTTTCTTTCTACACTTAAGCAAGGCCACTTATTCAAAATTCTTGATGATAATATTGTAAGTGAAGGAAATAGTGAGCAGTTAGTAGCAGTTGCTATGCTTGCAAAAAAGTGTTTATACGTGAGAGGAGAGGATAGACCTTGTATGAAGGAAATAGCTATGGAACTTGAAGGTCTGAGACTATCAGCAAAACGCTTATGGGCACAAAATGAATCCAACATAGAAGAGATGGAATCGCTTCTTTCTGTGGAACTTAATAGCTTCTCCAGTGTTGAGGGCAATAGCAAAGGTATTGTGTTTGATAGCATGAGGAATGATATAATTCTACCAATGGGTGGTGTAAGATGATCTGAGGATAAAAAATACTTTGTCCGTAAATTGGATTTCTTCCTCATTCTACCAATTTGTCATTTTAAGTGGTTGAAATTTGAATTTTTCGCTCCTGTATAGAACAATTAGCCATTTGGCAAAATTTTATAAATCATATATAATGGTCTAATCAAACATTCCAATGAACCTACAAGTACTACTCATTACTCATTTTTATTTATTTTTAAACTAAAACAAATTAATTCTTCCCAAACAAAGGCGATAATTGTAAGTAACTGAAAAACGCGGTTTGCTAACCAAGTTACCGAATAGTTATTAATTATCCATTTTTAATTTTGACCCTAGTGCGGAATTAATCAATCAAAAGCAACAAGTCACTTTTAATTGTTTCTAGATGGTTAAACAAACAGTTCAATTATCCTAAGTTGAATTACCACAATTTGTAATATGGAAAGCAATAAATAACACCAATATGATGACGGAGAAAACCCAACTAGGTAAAAACTTGGGGACCAAGTCAGTTACCTCCACTATAAACAATGTGGGTTACAGTTCAATTCCAAACTAGTTACACGAGCTGTTGTAAACCCTGCAACTCCAAGATCTGCTACTCATTCCAGCCTTGCGATCTGCTATCGTAGATACTGTCTANCCTATTCCCGTTCTTTTTCTTGCGCTTATAGTCCAACCTCTCTCAACCTCCAGAACCTTCTGAAATCCAACTGAGAAAGTACCTTCTTATGACCAATAAGAAGTATGTGGTATTTCGGTTTAAGGAATTGATGTTTTTCCCAACAGGTGGTTGTATGATCTCAAGAATCAAAAGATAGAATCAATGTAAGAATATCTTGGATCTTCAAAGGATGATAAGAAGAAGTAATATAATGAACAACCACACAAAAATCGTGCAAGACCCTCTATATTTATAGTTGGAAGTGTATGAGTAGTATGGGCCGTGTAAAACTCTCCAAAATCGCCAACTAGGGTTAGCCGCATAATACTGTTGCTCGAGTGAGGGGGACATGTCGCTCTAGCAAAGGGTCAGTCGCTCGATCGATGGGTTTGTCGCTCGAGCGACGCCTGGGCGAGAAGCGAGCGACAATGGTTCTATTTATGTCGCTTGAGCGATGGCCAAGCGTGAAGCTAGCGAAATTCCGGCGCCGCTTTTTCCTTGTTTCCAAACTCGAACTCGAACCCTAAGCTACCTAACTCAACTATACAAAATTGCACTTCACTCCTTAACTATTACACGTGTTCAATTAAGTCCTATTTGTTCACAGAATTGCCAATTACAATTTTGAACCTAACAGTAACCAATTCTGGGAACTTATATTTGTACATTTGTGAAATTGTTGATCTTAAGATATAGAAGTACATTATCAAATGATGTTAACCACAAAGAATGGGGGTTTCAAAATGGACTAATCCTACCTAAGTCAGGGACAATCTGGCCAGTAAAAATAGCCAAGAACTAGGCATCTATATATATCATCTTCGCCCATGGTAGTCTGATTGCAGGCTAGACATCCTTTGAAGGCAGGTCATGCTAGACTCAGTGAACTGATTTGTTCAAATCGGCTGAAAAAGATTAAAATTAGAGCAATAGCTCTAGATTTCTCACGATTCTCACTATATTTTCTGTCCTCTCATAATATTTTCTACTCACTTCATGTTCAATTTTGTGACGTATCATGCCAGGTGCTAAACACCAATAGTTATGCATAGCATTGTTCTCTTAGACAAAACGGATTCACAAATTACGACTACATGTGCTATTTCTTCAAATGCGTCTTCCGCCGTTGAACCATACATTTCAGCACAATAACTTATGGAAAAGGGATAGAATCTGGAACCTCTTCTTTATTTTTTTATTTTTTTTGTAAAAGATCAATTACTTAAATAATTTACAGCTTGCATTTTGGGCATGTTGTAAAAGCTTAATATTTACAGCGTAATTCTGAAGCATGTATAGATTGATAAAAAGATATTTACGATTTTTCTTTTTTAAAAAAATAAATTATTTACGGCATACATGTTGCATGCCATTACAGTGTTTAAAAAAAAAAGGGAAGGAGCAGTTGGATTTTTTACGGCATACATAATTGCACGCCGTAAAAGTGCAAGAAAAGAAAAGGAGAAATTTCTTATGACATATATGTTGGTATGCTTTAAAAAATGTAAGATAAAAATGTTAAAGTACCTACTAAATAGATGGATCTATTTTTCATTTAAATGAAAATAAGGCTATAATTTTTTAACCAAAATGACAAATTGCTTGCTAAATATAAAAAAATGTGCAGCTTATTAGGACTTACCATAAAGTTAAAAGGTTGATGACACATTTAGTATGACAAATTGAGATAGAAGTTAAAAGGTTAATGAAAAAGTTGTCATCTCGAAAATCAATTATACAAGAGCATGTAAGCTCTACTGATATTTAGAGATAGAAGTTTCCATGCTATTGAAGACTTTAGGTATGCATATAGTCTAGTATATAACTAATTTAGTCTTAATTTATGAGGTAAAGTAGTTACAGTGAACATAATTATTTAGTTTCCACTTGAAAATGTTTTTAAGTTCTTTAATATTCATTGTAACGTGTCTCATGTCACATGAGTAAAAAGTACGTATTTCGTTAGAGATCAACCCGGCCTCCTTAGCGACCTAGAAATGGTGCCTGAATGCTTGGTATCCTGTCTTGAAATTATTAATCTACTAGTGTTTGAGGGTAAGACACGTGAGATGGAGATGGTGAAGTATTTGTTGGCTAATGCTCGAGTTCTGAAGGAGCTAAGGATCTCAACGTTGAATATCCCACTGGAACTAAAACTTGAGATTCACAAACAATTGCTAGAGCTTCCAAGGGGTTCAACAAATTGTGTAGTTCATTTGAAGTGAGTTTCTAGGTATTTTAGACAACATCTATGAGTCTCCTCTGTTCTTAGTGTATATTCAGATGTGGCTCCTTCGTTATGGTAAATCATGTCATGGAAATACTGGTTGCAAGTTGCTATTTTATTTGAGGATAAGAAATCATTGTGGTATGTTATTATTTGATTTTCTTTTGTTCAAGCAATTGTACTTGTAAAGGCAAATTCACAACGGAAGCACAAGAACACAACTACAGAGAAGACATTGCACAATCAAGAAACGAATCCTTTATTTCATTGAGGGCTCAGAAACATTCATTGTTCCTTTTTGAACAAAGAAACGGCCTCAAGCACACCAAACCCCTAATCTATTCACGACAATGGCTCGAAGAAACACACGGCCAAAACCAACAGAAAACGCTTTCTCTAAAACCACAAAGGCATCAACCACACAGATTGAAGATTTAAAACCAGAGGTTTAAATCCATACACAAAGTATCACTAAGAAACGAGAAGAGAGAACACGAAGAACAGAAAGCCCCAGAAGCTCCACAGACAAAAGGAGAGAAAACAATGAAAAGTTAGGGCTCAAGAATGACGTTTCAGATGGTATATATAATATCAAGCATCAGCCGTTAGATCAACCACGAAGATCGACGGTCCAGAGCAGCTCAAGTGGGAAAAGAAATGGACCGGGTTTTAGGCCAGTTTCAATGCGTTATCGGGCAATGGCAAAAACATTCCATCAATGGGCCAAGCCCAATTCATCATCACCCAAAAGGTTGAAATGTAAATGTGACAAATGGCAAATCCAACAGTACTTCTATTTTAGATGGAGTGACAAACTTAATAGTGTGGGTGTTACGTAAATAATTGTTTTTCTTTTTGTGTCGTATATGACAACTAAAGCACCAAATGCCTTGGTGAACAACATATGCATACAATGTAAGTAGATGTTCATGTTTCCCCGGAGTTGTCTCATAAGATTTTTTCTATGGTCTTCAGTTATATGTAGGTTTTCTCTTGTATTAAAGTTAATACAGTTATGTTTCTATTATGAAGCGGTGGTAATTGCAGAATAGGCATCGGCAGATTACATACGAGTGCCAAAAGAAGGAATTTCCGTTAATGTGATAGCTATTTATATTCAGGTGCATTAATTAAATTACGCTAAATATTTGATGTTGGAAAGGAAATAAATAATTGTCTTGTGAAAACGTAAAATTTAAACAAAATTTGTCATAAATAGTATTTGAGAGGACATAACTTGTGATATTGAACAAATCAAGATTAAATAATGACCAAAAGAAGACTTCCAAAGTCCTTATTGAAAAGAGTACAAGCTATGAAAAATACAATCGTAACTCCCCATGGGATTGCTAACTCAATTCATTCTGGCAACCCTGCTTATATTTGTCTCAACATCGATTTCAAGCTGTACCATTGTAAATTTCCGAATAGCAAAGCCAAACTCTATGGATCGTTGAGGAAATGTAAGTATTCCCTTCCCTTTTGGCACGACAAAAGGGTTACCTTAACTGAACATTCTTGGTCTCTTGTAGTGACACACTATGATCCTCCCAAAGCATTCTTAGCAAATTCAAACATATTCTCAGAGGGCAAATTTCGCATCCTAGACTACATAACAATACATTGTTATGATTGGAATGGCGCCAGAATACTGTGGTATCAAGATTCCTAGATACAGCTCACTTGGAGCCTCACCATCAATATAACTTCGAATAAGTTAATTGGTATTGGTTGTGATAATTATGCTTTTCTGTACTACCTGTTTAATGGGAATTTTATCGGACGGTGTAATTTCTACCGGGGGGTTTTTGTGGGCGGGATATGTTCTGGTCCAGGCTGCTGCTAAGCTTTAATCTCCAAAGGAGGTGTGTATTAAGGGATAGAATCCCACATCGAAAATAGAATTCCACATCGAATAAAGATGTAAACATAAACCAACTTATAAAGGATTGGGTTACTCCTCTTAATAAGGTTGACCTTTTAAGATGGAACCCCAAATCTTAACAGTGTGGACAGCAAGCCTGAAATTGAGGAGCTATTATAATTACTCTTGAAGAGTGGGACGTCAATAATTGCAGCTATGGTTTTCTTGCTGAGGGAAGTCCATTCACTTTTTCT